GCAATGGTATGACATGGAAAATTTTGATCACACAACATTTTTGCTGCTCTGCGGGTTTATTTGTTTTTAATATCCTTCACTAAATGATAGAAAACAAATACATCATCAAAACTCACAAAAGATGCCGAGTAAAATCTTGGCACTGCTGAATTTAATGACAAAATTCCCAAATAAACAGTAGTACTTGAGGTAACTCAGACCTACTTTAAAAAAAAAAGAAGGCCAAGGTGCACTAAGAGTTACAATCTACTTGTAAAAGGCAATCCTATCAACTTAGAAAAAGCAATGTTCGTACAGGGAAAGTTCTATCACTCTAAGGAAGGGTAGAAGGGAGAACTGCAAAATAGAGACAATGGATTTCAGGAAGGCGGATTTTGGTAAGATCAGAGAGCTGATAGGTAAGGTCCCATGGGAATCGAGACTGAGAGGAAAAACAACTGAGGAGAGTTGGCAGTTTTTCAAAGAGACATTGTTAAGGGCCCAAAAGCAAGTTATTCCGATGTGTTGGAAAGATAGAAAATATGGCAAAAGACCACCTTAGCTTAACCACGAGATCTTGCATGATCTAAAAATAAAAAAGGAGTCATACAAAAAAAGGCAAAGTAGGAAAAATTACAAAGAATGAATATAGGCAAACAGCACAGGAATGCAGGGGCAAGATTAGAAAGGCAAAGGCACAGAATGAGCTCAAATTAGCTACGGGAATAAAGGGAAACAAGAAGACTTTTTATAAATACATTAGAAGCAAGAGGAAGACCAAGGAAAGGGTAGGCCAACTGGTCACTGAGGAGGGAGCAACAGTAACCGGAAACTTGGAAATGGAAGAGATGCTCAATGTTTTCTTTGTTTTGGTCTTCACCGCGAAGTCTGTAGGAATGCCTAACATAGTGAATGCTAGTGGGAAGGGGGTAGTTTTAGAAGGTAAAATTTAAAAAAAAACAAGTTAAAAATCACTTAGAAAAGTTAGATGCCAGGGCCTGATGAAATGCATCCTAGAATACTCAAGGAGCTGATAGAGGAGGTATCTGAGCCTCTAGCTATCATCTTTGGAAAATCATGGGGGACAGGAGAGATTCAGGAGGACTGGAAAAGGGCAAATATAGTGCCCATTTATAAAAAGAGAAATAAGAACAACCCAGGAAACTACAGACCAGTTAGTTTAACTTCTGTGCCAGGGAAAATAATGGAGCAAGTAATTAAGGAAATCATCTGTAAACACTTGGAAAGTGGCAAGGTGATAGGGAACAGCCAGCATGGATTTGTAAAGAACAAATCATGTCAAACCGATCTGATAGCTTTCTTCAGTAGGATAACGAGTCTTGTGGATAAGGGAGAAGCTGTGGATGTGGTATACTTAGACCTTAGGAAGGAGTTCGATACGGTCTCGCATGTTATTCTTATCAATTAACTAGGTAAATACAACTTAGATGGGGCTACTATAAAGTGGGTGCATAACTGGCTGGATAACCGTACTCAGAGAGTAGTTATTAATGGTTCAGAATCCTGCTGGAAAGGCATAACACGTGGGGTTCCATAGGGGTCTGTTTTGGGACTGGCTCTGTTCAATATCTTCATGAATATCTAAGTGCTCCACTTAGGAAGGAACAATCAGTTTCATACATGCAGAACGGGAAGAGACTGTCTGGGAAGCAGTACGGCAGAAAGGGATCTAGGGGATATAGTGGACCACAAGTTGAATATGAGTCAGCAGTGTGATGCAGTTGCAAAGAAAGCAAACATGATTCTGGGGTGCATTAACAGGTGTGTTATGAGCAAGACGCGAGAAGGCATTCTTCCGCTCTACTCTGCACTGGTTAGGCCTCAAATGGAGTATTGTATTCAGTTCTGGGCACCGCATTTCAAGAAAGATGTGGAGAAATTGGACAGGGTCCAGAGAAGAGCAACAAGAATGATTAAAGGTCTAGAGAACATGACCTATGAGGGAAGGCTGAAGGAATTGGGTTTGTTTAGTTTAGAAAAGAGAAGATTGAGAGGGGACATGATAGCAGTTTTCAGCTATCTAAAAGGGTGTCATAAGGAGGAGGGAGAAAACTTGTTCATCTTGGCCTCTGGGGATAGAACAAGAAGCAATGGGCTTAAACTGTAGCAAGGGAGATTTAGGTTGGACATTAGGAAAAAGTTCCTAACTGTCAGGGTAGTCAAACACTGGAATAAATTGCCCAGGGCGGTTGTGGAATCTCCATCTGTGGAGATATTTAAGAGTAGGTTAGATTAATGTCTATCAGGGCTGGTCTAGACAGTATTTGGTCTTGCCATGGGGGTAGGGGACTGGACTCGATGACCTCTCAAGGTCCCTTCTACTCCTAGTAATTCCATGATTCTATGATTCTAAGGAGGAAGTTCCATTTGCGTGTGAATTCTGTTGACTATACATTCTATAAAGGAGGCTGACTATAAAAAAACCAAACTGCCCATTTTCTCAAATATCAGCTCAGCCAGTAGACTAAGAGTGGACTTTGCTATTATGAAGAAAAGCAAAAACAAAAACACAAGGAAACAAACCTGGAAATAGGAGCTGAAGCTTCTATTTTCTATTCAGCAAAACTCACAGTTCACTTTTCTCAGAAAATCATACACCAGTGGGCTAATTAATTGACATGATCTAAGATACAGCTCAAGGCAAGAGCTGCATATATTAACTTCTCGCCTTTGTTATTATGTACTATTTGTTTCTTTCCAAGCAGGGAATACTTCGTTCTAGGTATTCAGCAAAATAGCATTTTTTTTATTTTGTGTTATCTACTTTTTGTTAAGGTTATGTAATAAGAAACTGAAACATTATCTTTTGCTGACACAGATCTTCAATTATTGCTAAGGTATTTTCTCACTAACACAAAATGTTTGAAGGTATTGGTTAATTTTAAGTAAAACTGAAAAGTTTAAAATAATGTTTTTAGTTATCTTTTAAGTTCATATTGATTTTCTTTAACTGCTATATATAAAAAGAGAGGCTACTACTAAAAAAAAGTACTCGATGCCATCAATAGCTATGATTTTTAAGTTTAGGATATAGTCAGTATATTGTTTACTATATTTTTTGCTAGCTACTTAATCTATGCACCAGAACTGAATTGCTTCTTCAAGATTTCCTAACTTTTAGCACTTCAATTAGTACTAAGAAAGCTTCACAACTATAAATAATCATTTATATAAAATACCCACCCATATGTTATTTTTAGTTTAATTTAATTCACACAAAACTAAGCATAACAGCAACCATAAGTCGTAGGCAAATGAAAACAATATAGTTCTAGAACTGCACAATGCCAGCATGGTTCAAATCAAACTATAGTATTTTGCTAACTTTTTTGTGGGGGAAGGACAACAAATACTGACTTTGTCACTTACCATGGAGGTGATTTGATTATGACGCAAGTTAAGTTCAGTCAGTGAATCCAGTCCATTAAGGTTTTCTATGTAGCTTAAAAGATTTCTGGCAAGGTTTAACACTCTGAGTTCACCCAAATGATTGATATTTTCTATTTTAGCAATCTGTAAAGAGAAGCATAATTAACAGTGAACATATTGTGCCCAGTTTGCTTATACACGTGTTAGATATACATCTTAAAGCAATTTAGATACATACTAACATAATTCTACATTAGTTTTTATTTTTAATAGTAGATATTTATGTTTTCGGTTGACTTCCACTAGATTTCCAGCAGCCCACTGGAAATTATACAACATTATCCAGTTTACTAATGTTCTTTTTGGTCACGGAATGATGTAATTAAGTCAGCAGTCCTTATTCTTTATCATCAGAGCTCTCTGTGTTTATGCTGTGTGGGACAAATATGTGCTACTTCCAGGTGAAAGTAACCTAAATTTCTTACAGATACTATCCTATCACAACCCGCTCCTTCCCCAAGGGCTAACCGTGGGGAAGGGGGTGGCCATACAAAAGTACCAGCAAGAAATTTAAGAGTGGGGGTGGAGTGCAGGGAGCTCGGGGCAGAGGGTTCGGGTGTGTGTAGTGTACAAGAGTTAGGGCTGGGTATGGGAATGCAGGAGTCAAGGTTGGGATGTATGAGGGGCGCAGAGCAGGGCAGAAGGTTGGGGTATGTGGGAGGGTGCAAGAGTCAAGACTGGGGTGTATAAGGGACATAGGGTATGAGTAGGGTCTCAGGGCAGGGGTTTGGGGTGTATGGGGATGCAGGAGTTAAGGATGGGGATGCAGGAGTCATGGTTGTGTTGTATGAGGAGGGGGCTCAGGGCAGATGAGTTGGCGTGTGTGGAATGTGGGAGGGTACAGGAGTTAGGGCTGGGGACAAGGATGCAGGAGTCAAGACTGAGGTGTATGAGGAAGGGGCTCAGAGCAGAGGACTGGGTGAGTGAAGGGAGAGCTAAGGGAACATTTCAGGGGTGGGGGGCTTCAATTACCCTAGTCTCTGACTAGGGAGTGAGGCAAAGTTTTTTCTTTTTCTCACTACTGAGCAAGGCAAATTTCACATCCATGAGCCTTCCTTCTCTGCCCTCCCCTGGGCAGCCAGGAGTGAGAGCAGGCTGTGAAACTAGTCTCACTCCCTAGTCAACGAAAAGGGGGAAAAAAATCATTCAGAGACTGGGGTAAGTGCAGCTGCAGCCCCCATTCCTCCTGAAATGGTGGGGGGCTCTGGGACGGGGCAGTTCTAGACACACACACACACACACACACCCCCACCATCAGCTCCTCTAACCTGTCAGGCTGCCTGTTTCTAGTGTGGCAGCCTGCAGAAAGCCAGGATCCAGGCTGGTAGTGCCCCAAACCTACCCCTGCAGCTAAGTGCCCCAGTCAGGCAGTTTCTTGCCAGAACGATGTACCAGGGTGCACTGGCTTTCTGTCACTTCTGGCTGCTTCTTCAATGTTCTGAGAGCCTTATTTCAAACCAGCCTTGCAAATTCACTCACTTCCCCAGCAAGCATGGTGCTTCCCAGGCCATCAATTTCTATCGAATGTAAGCTTTAACTGGAAAAAAATCTATAGCCCTTATGCTTGTGAAGAGAACTTTTTAAAAGGTGAACAGAGAGAGTGCAATGTGGAAGAGTGTGTAAAGTCTGCCCCCGCACTCCATAGCGCCTAGAAAGAACCACCAGCTGTTTTGAACAGTTGGCAGTCCACTGTAGGCAGCATGTGCCCCTGGGAGAAGACTTCGTTCGCACTCCACTCAGGGACTGGGGAGGGGTTGCACATGAAGTCTTTGCCCCTCGCCCCCATCCTGCAAGGGGTGCATAGCACCTAGAGTGAACCGCCAGCAGTTTTGAACAGCTAGCAGTTCCTTCAGGTATTGTATGTCCTTGGTGGGGGAAGGAGACTTGCATGCTCCCCAGTCCCAAAGTTGGCCTGAGGGCGGGAGAACAGCAGGGTGGCTGCGGTCTGGATCCACTGGCTTGGTTGGCCGGATCTGGCACGCAGAGGCTGCCTTGCCCACCTCTGTTCTAAATGGTCCTTGCTTCTATCGCTGCTGCAGAAATCTGGGTTTCATTAGTAATTTATGGAGATGTTATTTATAACTTTTCTTAGTCATAAGTCTCTGTCAACAGTAATGGAATTCTTTCCTTCTTTTCTATCACCCTTTTTAATACAAAGACATACCTGCTTTAGCCATTATTTTTATTTTTAGGTAATAAGCCATTGCCTTTTCATTCTACAGGCTGGACCTCCCTCATCCGCCACCTTTGGGACCTGACTACTCCTGAACAAGGGGATTTGCCAAACAAGGGGAGATCCTTCCCATTATGGTCCATGATGAACCTGGCTAAGACTCCACCTGAGCTGTACTGCTGTCTGCCCAGCCATGGTTCCCCAGGCTGGAGCTCTGCGGCTGCCAGAGCCGAGGTTGTCAGGGCTGCTGGGGCTTCGCAGTTGCCCGGACGTTGCGGCTGCTGTGGGGGCCAGGACTTCACAGCCGCTGGAGTGAAAAGGGCTCTGCAGCTGCTGCAGCTCTGTGGCCACTGCCAGTCCCCACTACCGCCCAGTAACAGGGGCCAGAACTCTCTGCTACGCTGCTTGTCCCTACCGCAACACAGGACTCCTGGCGGAATCGTACCCGCCCCCCTCCTGCCCTGTGGCCTGACCTCCTTTTAACTGGACTCTGTGGTCCAGGAGCATTGCTGGACCAGAGTCCCAGTTAAAGGAGGTACAACCTGTAGACCATTACAAGTGATATTCTCTTTAACAAATGTAAATGACACACATCTAAGTCCCTGTAGACTATTTTCTACTTACCATAAATAAGTAATTGATAATCAGTTTTTCGAGGTGTTTTGCATTACATTTAAAATAAGAATGGGAAATACCTTACTTTTAAATAAATGTACAAAAAGCACAATACGCTCTATTTTCATGTTGTGTGTTTTTGAGAGTTATAGGATATTTAGATAGTGAGAAAATTTGAAAAGCTCGAAGAGTCAAGATAAAAATGCCTTTGAAAATTTTATGCAGCACATAACTCATCAATAATGAAATACCACAAAGATAGCATCCGTTTATGATGTATTTCTTGTGTATATTCAGAAGAGGTCTTTGCTTAAAAATTTCTTATAGCATAGATTTCTTATATTTATGTTGCTGAACTTCCAGTAAGAAAACCCTGACACATAATTAGATAACTAAGGAATACTCAAAGCAGTGCCAATAATAATTTGATTTTATTAAATGAAATGATATGGCATAAAATCTATTCTATATGCAGTGGGACAATTTTTTCTGTCAGTTACACGTGGGCCAAGTCCATTAATTTTGACAGGGCAGCCTGGTGTAACTGGAGAAAAGTATTTACCCCATTATGTCTTTACCTAAAATACCTTTGAAGAGATTTAATGAAATACTGTACTGAAGAGCAGTTTAATGAAAAGCTTTTGCTTACCCCATAAGTCTGGTGACCATATTTTCTGAACCAAAATTAGCGACACGCTAGCCACACCCCAGGCCCCCATTAGCAACGCCCTCTGCTACAAGAAATCCCACCTCTGGAGGTAGTACTCCAGGAGTCAAGATGGACACATCACCGGTAGTAAAGGATGTCATATGACCCCTCTAAGAACTCCTCCTGCCATCCTCTACCCATAGGAATGGGTTTGGCCCCCCACAGGATCCCTTCATGCAACTAGCCTGCAATTGCATTAACCCAACTTACATAAGAACATAAGAACGGCCGTACTGGGTCAGACCAAAGGTCCATCTAGCCCAGTATCCTGTCTATCGACAGTGGCCAGCACCAGATGCCCCAGAGAAGGTGGACCGAAGACAATGATCAAGCGATTTGTCTCCTGCCATCCCTCTCCAGCCTCTGACAGACAGAGGCCAGGGACACCATTTCTGTCCCCTGGCTAATAGCCTTTTATGGACCTAACCTCCATGAAATTATCTAGCTTCCCTTTAAACTCTATGGGTGTGTCTAGACTACATGCCTCCTTCGACGGAGGCATGTAGATTAGCCAGATCGGAAAAGGGAAATGAAGCCGCGATTAAAATAATCGCGGCTTCATTTAAATTTAAATGGCTGGGGCCCGCCCC